AGACTGATTGACACCCCCCCACCCCAAGAGAGTAACACCCTCCACTCCAACAGGGCCACGCACACCCCAGATACACTCCACCCCAACAGTGTGAAACACCCCCAACCCGACCACCCTCCCACCCCAAAAGTGACACACATACCCTTGACACCTCCCACCCCAACAGAGTGACACACACCATGAAACCCCCTCACCCCACCCCCATGCCAACAGAGTGATCAGTTCTTGCCCCCTTTTCTCAGCAGTCAGATTTTCCAACCCATTTAGCATTTTTTTTGTCATTCTCCTCTGGCCTTTCTCCAGTTAGTTGACATCATTCTTGAAATACAGACCACCCCCCCCCAAAAAAAAAAACCTGAACACAGTAGGCCAGCTGGGGCTTCACCCATGTCACATGTAGCAGAAAAGTCATTGCCCGGGTCTTAGATATGACACACCTGATAACATCCCTATAATCCTATAGCCCAGTGGATGGAGCATTCACATTCAAGCTCTGGCTCTCAATCTGCCAGTGCTCTAAAAACTGGCCTCTTGTGTATAGGAGAAGGCTTGGACACCAGGGCTATGTTTACTCTGGCAGGTTCTTGCGCAAGAGCCCACAGAGCATCCACACTACCTGCCCGCTCTTGCACAAGAATATTTACAGTACAGCAGCAGAAGATGGCTTCTTGAGCAAGAGCTACGCTCTTTTCTAACAAGTGTAAGCCCTCTTGCGCAAGAGGGCAGTGTGGCCACACAGCTGGGGTTTCTTGCTCAAGAAAGCCTTATGGCTAAAAAGGCCATCAGAGTTTTCTTGCGCAAAAGAGCGTCCACACTGCCATGGATGCGCTTGCGCAAAAGCAGATGGCAGTGTGGCCGAGTGCTTGCACAAGAACCCTTGCGCAAGAGGTTCTTGCTCAAGAACCCGCCAATGTAGACATAGCCCAGCAGTGCTTGTAGAAAAGGGCTGACCTGCCTATCTTTGAAGGCCCCCCCCCTCCCACTCTCCTCCCCGTTTCGTAGGCCGGGGCTAGCTTGAGTAGCTGCCTGCTTTGCTTACTTGTTTTTGTGCATCCTTCTTCAGGCACCTCCCGCGCCCCATGCAGTATATAGGGAGCCTGAGCCCCCATTAGACTCAATGTGGGGCTGGAAGAGCCCTTGGGACAGGCTAGTGCTTCCTTCTATGCAGAGGGAGGACCCAGAAGACCTCACCCATCCCTGACAGGTGCAACCCCTAGGTGGCAAGGTGCCTGCATATTAGGGATGCCAGTTCTGAGCCTAACTCCCTTTGGTGGCTTTAGCCCAAAACGTTTAAAAAAAAACCCGGTAAGACACTGGTTCTCAAACTTTTTGGCCCATGGTCCACCCCACTCAATTGCAGCCCTTTCTGCAGACCACCAGCCTCCCACCTATGATGTCAAAATGGCTCCAGGAGGGAGCTGGGCTGGCAGGCAGGGTGCAAGATTGGGCTGGGAGTGGGGTCTGGCTGAGAGGCTGGGTGCAGGACCAGGCATAGGCAGCGAGCTATATGGGCTCGTGGTGCCCATGTTCCAGGAATTTTCAGAGCCAGGGGCCCTGCTCCACCA